TTTCCTGTCCAGAAAAGAGTTCAGTGAAGATAAAGTCTTCTGAAAGTCCTTTCACGGACTTAAATAAGTGCTTGTACACACTTAGTTATGCAGTCACCAATAATGCCTCTATAACAACTTTATTTAGCTCTGTTAGATTTCTTTCACAAGTCTTTGTAGCTAGCTAATGTATGTGCATTAATCATGCACAATTAAGACATATGATGAATTTGACTTGATGCTTCTCCAAGCACTTCACTAATTGTAAAGTTGCAATAGGATTAAGCATCTTGTAAGTTAGCTTTTTATGTATAGAGGCACAGAGTAGTCTGGGTTGGAAGAGACCTTTAAAAGTCATCTAGTCTGACCCCCAGCAATAAGCAGGGACATCTTCCACTAGACCAGGTTGCTGAAAGCCCCATCTAACCTGACCTTCAATGTATCCAGGGATGAGGCATCTACCACCTCTGTTCCAGTGCCTCATCACATTCATTGTAAAAAATTTCTTCCTTATATCTACTGAGCCTCTTTTAGTTTCAAACCATTGCCCCTTGTTTTACTGCAAAAGGCCATGCTAAAAAGTCTGTCCCCATCTTTCCTATAAGCCCCTTTTAGGTACTGAAAGGCCACAAAAAGGTCTTCCCTGAAGCCTTCTCCATGTTGAACAACCTCAGCTCTCTCAGCTTTTCCTCATAGGAGAGGTTCCATTTCTGGGCTGTAAGCCCACACTGCCAGCTCATGTCCAGCCTCTCATCCAGCTTCACCCTCAAGTCCTTCTCAGCAGGGCTGCTCTCCATCAGTTCATCCTCAGCCTGTACTGATATTGGGGGTTGCTCCAACCCAGGTGCAGGACCTTGCACATGGTATTGTTGACCCTCATGGACCCATTTCTTGAGCTTCAGGTCCCTCTGGATGGCAATAGACAGTTTATATATGATACTTACATTCCAATTTGCTACGTGATGAACCTGAATCTCATTTAGTTTTATTAGTGCTGCTAAATATAATAAATTATCACAGAATAAAGTTTGTAACCTTTTCAGAGTTTACATAAGTGCTCCCATTTTACAAGTGAAACTGAAGTAAAATATGAAGGCACCTTTCTGTCCACACACACAGAGGTATAGCAGTGATCCCTTTCCATTTATTTAGGCCCTCCACATGAAGAGCCTGAAGTCTGAACAAATGTTTTGGAATGATTGTTGAAACACCACATACAACAGGAAATCTGTGAATTTTACAAGAAACACTAATATGAGGAGAAAGCAGGTCATGGTTATGTTTAAAAATATATTACCTTTTGGACTAAGGTAGCCTATTTAGTGTATAAATTATGGTTTGCTGTCTAGAGAAACTGGACAAATCTGTTATAAAAAGAGAAGTTTGGCAAATTAAGACTGGATCTACTGATCTGATACGCACATGATTTCACAAAGGCCTCAAACACCATTGCTTTGCTATGTAGATGTTAAAAAGTCAAAAATAACCAGAACACAGGATCAGAATCTGCTGGGTTTAGTAAATCATAAAACAGTGTAGGTCCTTTATGAATTGGTGGCTGTGAAGTTAGCAGCAGGATATACCATATTAGTGTATCAATATTGCTGCAAAACACTGAGCTGTTAATCGTGTGGGTTTGTGCTTATCTGAAATAACAGATTTTCCAGCTAGCTGTTCATTTCACTTGTTAAGGCAAAAAGCTTGGTAACTTCTTTCTTGACAATACAATTAAAAATTCTTCTAAATCAACAACAGCAGAAGTAATTTACACTGGTAGAAAGATGCTTTGAGTGATAAAATTGTATCAAACTAATTACTCTGATTAGAGGTAAGACATTTTGCTCCTTGTGCTAGAGGTTAAAGTAAATACCCTAGTAGAATTTCAGTGTAGCTTAGTCTTTCCCTGTTCATGCATGTACTGTAGTTATTAGAGAGCTGAGCAAAGTTACGATGGCATATTGTAATCTTTAATTTTTATTGTGTTCCCGAAGCTGAATTACAGGTGGCTGAAGCTGTTGCTCTTGTAGATACTCTTCAGAACTGGACAGTTTTGGATAAAATAATTATTCCTACAAAAAATCCCGACAAGAAGTTTGTTTTTGGCAAAGGGAACTTTCAGGTTTTGACAGGTAAGGAGTGAACTCTTTTCAGCACTGCTTCATTCTGAATGGAAGACTTTTGCAGCTGAATTGTTTAAGGATAGATGTGAAAGCTGAAGAGATGGGGAATTTTGTTTATCCATCATGCAGGTTTGCAAACAAACTTCAGAGAATTCTTTAAGGTTGCAAAAGCAACACAGAATAGCCAACCCATGCTCACTGAAAATATGTGAGGAAACTTAATCCATAAGTTTATGTGACTGATATAAGTGAAACTGGGGCAGCTGTTCTTGGCACGGTGCTACCTCAGTGCAATTGCAACTGTTGTGTGAACAAAGAATGTAGTGCCATTTGATGTTTTATGAACATTCTGCTCGGTGCAAAGTGGTTTATAGTCAGGGAATTTTACGAAGAGAATTGACATTTAACACTGTTTTGCAATGGTTATCCATCTTCTAGAAAAGATTAAAAAATTGCCCCATCTGACAGCTGTCTTCTTGAATGTGGAAAGAGTATCTTCAGTAACAAAGGTAATTTAATATCAAGTCATATTCTTTACATCAGTATTGTTTGGAAGGTGTTGATGTTACAAGAAGTGCTCAGTTATGATGCTGAATTTGCAAATGGTAATATATGAAGCCACTGGGACTGGGTTTTGTTGAAGGGAAACTTAATTCCTATTGCATTTGTCCAGCTGATATATCTGTTTCCAGCTCTTGTGCATGAAATTTTCCAGCAGCCTAGTACCATTTATTATAGATTCATATTTGCCTCTACTTAAAGTGTGGGGAAAGTTACTCAAGGTAAATGAGTAACAGAATGGTGGTGATAACACAGCTATTGTTCTGAGAAATGTCAACGTTTTGGATTAGCTGTATGCTCCAGTTTCTGTACCTATAATGGATAGTGTATTTATTTTCCTATAGTTCTGTGGATGCTGAATTGCATTTTGAATATGAGGTGTAAGTTCAGGGAAAGCTTACATCTGAGTGCTTCAAATATTTAAACTTTCATTCCTAACCCTTAAAAAGAAATGTTGAGGGGCAGAGCATACTTCAGGTTTTTAACACTGGCAGTAAAACAACTGGTGTATGAACTGTAGGACCTCTTTGAAATGCTTAGACAAACTGATACAAATACTGTTTGGGGTTTTAATATGTACAGCATCATGCAGGGTGTAAAGTGCATGCAAACTCTGCAAGCAAATATTGGTGCTTAGCTGGGAGTTTTGAATGCTTTCCCTGATTATAAAATGAAAAGATGGTAAAATATCTCTAATAAATCTTTATCTCAGCACTTCCATTTGTTAGTGGATGGGAAGTTGCAAGCTTTTCATTTCAATTTCCTAGTTTTTATCTTCTAATTTATAGTATGAGTTCTTCTAGTACTAGATTTGCTGGAAGTTTTTTTTTCTTGTCACAAATCTAGATCTTAGGAGCAATTCAAGAAGGTGTTTGAGAACATTATACACACAAGCATTCTGGATTTTAGAGCTGGCATAGGGGAACTGCTGCATACTTTTAAGTATGTTTTGCTGAATTAGATCAAGGGTGAAGGTTTTTGGTTGGTTGGGGTTTTCTAAGTATTTCATGAAAAGTTTATTATTAAATAATTTTCCTGCCTTCCTCTCTATTTTTTTGAAGTTTTAATAATAATTTTTTCTTTTCCTATGTTATCCCTATCCTTTCCCATTCCAGCATTTCATAATTATTTTTTACAAGGACTAAACCACTGAGATTCTTGATTCTGAGATGTGCTGTTAGAGCTGTTGTCAGAATCCATAAAAGGCACTGCAAGGATTCCTGATTAATCTGATGGGCCTAGACATAGAGTTCTCTCTAAACTCTCTTTAACTCCTTTCTTTGTGATCAAGCAAATGTTGCCTTTGCATGCTCATAATCATTGCCCACCCATGGAAATGGAACCCTGAAATCCTCTGAGTTCAAGTGTCCATCACCTAACTCTAACTGTAGTGCTGTGTAAGAATTGATCTACTGATACTGTGGGGGACAGAAAACATCTGTTATTTGTCTTACATGGTTAAAGAAAGAACTAGAAGATGCCTGGGGCGTGAAAATCTTTGACAGATACACCACTGTACTTCACATTTTTCGTTGTAATGCCAGGACTAAAGAAGCAAAACTGCAGATAGCACTGGCCGAAATTCCACTTCTCAGGTACTTCGAGCTGTGCAAATCACATACTGATGTTTACATGTTTCAGTGACTGTTTCTTCACAGTAACAAAAATGGCAATACTGTACTGTAAAGAAAAAGGATACTGTTTCAGTGCTCCCAGAGTGTGCTCAGTGATTGACTAGAGCATAGGAATATTTGCTATAGTGTCATTGTTTTAAGCTTCTGCAGTGCTGACAGGCAAAACCAGAAAGTGTTCAACAATCTTACAAAACGTATTTCTCATGAGAAAGTCCCAGTTCTTTCTAAGACAGGAGATAGACTGCAAGAATACGTAGGAATTGGATATGTATATCCCATAAATCTTGATGGGTTTAATAAACCTACGAACAAAGAAGATTAAAGGCATTAATTTGTATCTGAATTTCCCACATTTCTGCATTACCTGGCATAGAAATGTGTACATGGCAGTGGGTGTGAGTTGTGTGGATGTACCAGAGGTACCTTTGGTGCTCTGAAATTCAAGAGCAGCAGTTATGATTTGCTGGGAGAGTTGCATGCTTTGTCACACCACAGTTGAGCCAGGAAAATCTGGATTTTTGTCTCTGAGCTTCTTTCCATAAGCAGATTTTGTTTACAGCTCAGGCATTTAGTGTTTTTATTTGTACTGTCAGAATATAGCTACTGCTTCACATTTTTTAGGCATTTTAGAGTAGCTCAATTAAAGAAAATTGCTGATAACTAACTGTTCCTCTGCTGCCAGGTCAAATCTGAAAAATGAGGTGTCTCAGCGAGATCAGCAGAGAGGTGGATCAAGATACATCATGGGCTCAGGTGAAGTCTAAATATTCTCATGAATTAGAGGATTTTTTTGTTTCTCCATAGCCTGTAAACAGATTTAGTTGCATTTTGTTTGGAGGAGGTTGGGAGGAAAAACCATATCCTGCATCTAATTAAATAAATGTACAAAAATGTATGGGAAACTAAGTTAAATGATCAAGTTTTGGTCTGTACTGGCTCAGTAAGTGGCCAAGGACAGGATATTTGCTGCCACAGAGGTTTATCATAAGTGTACAGGGATATTCTAGTGTGCTTAGCCTATGTTTTAATAATTACTTACTCATTCTGACTCTTAGGTGAGAATAAATAGCTTTAGTCTCTTAATTTCATATGCCCTCGAGCTAACTCACTTGATTTCCAAACACACATCATCACTTGGTTTACTGTTTCTCTTCTCAACTATTCTGCCAATTATTCATTTGTATTTTGCAGGTGAAACATTTATGGAGATTCAGACTCGTATCTTGAAAGAAAGAGAACTTAAAATTAGGAATGCCCTGGAGAAACTAAGAAGAAAAAGGTCTTTACTTAGAACCCAGCGAAGAAAGCGCGAGTTTCCGACGGTCTCCGTAATGGGCTACACTAATTGCGGTAAGCTAAATCTCTTGGAATTGTAACACCACAGAACTTGCATTGTCTCATTTTTAATTAGAAACTTGTCCTGGTTTTAGCCAGGATGG